GAATAATCGCTTATAAACCTAAGAAATCGACCCTAGCCTATCCTAAGGGAATACCAAGTACCCGAGTAGTACCGAAAAAGTCAAGGGGCGATCCCGGACCAGAACCTACCAGAAGGTCTGTTCTAGGTCTGTGTAGTGGTAGGGGTTCGATCTGTAGGTCTGTCGAGTAGGAGTCGGGCAGCCCTGTAGAGGTCGTAGCTGTAGGAATTCTGAAAGGTCAAGGTCGTAGCTGCTACAGTCCTGAAGGGTCAAGGTTTTCTTCTTTTTTTTTTTTTTTTTTTTTTTTTTTTTGAAAGGCCCCATGTGCAAGACCTCCATCCTTGTGGTGGTAAGAGAACCACCAAGATTGAGGCTTTGCCTGGCGGGCCGCCCCATCTACTGAAAGGTCAAGGTCGTAGCTGCTACAGTCCTGAAAGGTCAAGGTCGTAGCTGCTACAGTACTCAAAAGGCCGAGTCCACAGACTTCCGGAAGGTCCGGAACTGGCTTTTCTTGTTTTTTTTTTTTTTTTTTGTAACCCTCTTCAGTGTTAGTGGGGTCAGGAAGTGGCCTTTCGAAGTTGCCTCACATTTAGTCAGAGGCAAGTGGGCAAGTGGTGAGCCCAACTGCATTACGTCGGCAGTGCGACTGCATCGAGTTGGCAGTGCAAAGTTGCAAACCCATGCATGCAGTCAGCGGTACCAGTCCCAGTCAGTCCCAGTCCAGTCAAGCAAGTACCATGAGGGACTGTGTGCACCATGGGCGCCCGGTGGAAAGGGGCAGACAACAAATTACAGGAGTATAAATTAAATTAAGAGGCAGCGCCCAGCCATTCGTTCATTCGCTGCGTGGGCCATGCGGAAGAAGCGCTGGTACAGCGTCTTGTGCGAGGTGGTCTGCAGGTCGCCCGAAGTCGAAGTGGGCTGAAGGGAGACATCGTAGCCATAGTCAGTAGTAGTAGAAGCGGCCATAGCCGCTGTAGGAGGAAGGTAGACTCAGATGTGTGTGTGCGTGTGTAAGAGAGTGAAGCCTGCGGAGTATTCAGGGAGATCCAGAGTTGGGTGTGGAGCGTGTGTGTGAACGGTGGCAAACACAGTGACGCGAGTTGGAAGTGTACAGGCGCTGATGCGCCATAGCCCGTGGAAGCGAGTTTTCACCTGAACTGTGTTTCTGGTTTCCATATCTCTGGACGAGCGCGTTGCGCTAGTGGGAATCGCCATCTGTTTGCATGTGTGTGAAGTAAAGAGGAAAGCGAGTCCGATTGCACATGACTCTCGCCGGCAAAAAAAGTGATCCAAATTATTCTATCAAGTAGTATCAACTCATCTATTAAACCACAAGTACCTTTCCCAGCTATCAAGTCGGATATGCCGAGCCTTGCCTCCGGCGACTGCCCGACCCTCCGGCTATCGATATGCCGAGCCTTGCCGAGCGTCGAGTTACTGCAGGCAGGACAAGCACCGTTTCAAAAAAAAGAAAAAAAGAGAGAGAAAGAAAAAAAGAAAAAAAAGAAAAAAAAGAATAAGAAAAGAAAATATAATTATAAATGAGATTCTTTAAAAAAAAAAAAAAAAAACAAGGAAAATAACGAAATGAAACCCAACGGCCACCAGGTAAGTCTCCACGCCCCCGGCTGGCCTGACGCTACTTCCATCGATAGGATGAGCAACGCACTGGCCAAGTTGAACAGGTATGTCTCCAACCCGCGGCTGGCCTCACGCTACTTCCATCCATAGGATGATCAAAATCAAATGAATCTTCCGCAAGAACATGGAAATATACACTAGTACAAGTGTGTGTGTGTGTGTGTGTGTGTGTGTGTGTTGTCATATTAGCTAGGAGGAGGTGGTGGTAGACGATGGAGCAGACTCGATCCCTTTCTCATCGGCAACGAAAGAGCAGGTAGAGACACGTGGCGTTGTCGTTGGCCACGTGTCACGCAACAAGCAGATTACTGCAGAAGCCATCAATCCGGAACGGGTTTCAAAGAGCCACGTGGCGTTGTCGTTGATCGCTGATGACTCCGAGGATCAGGGAACGTCTGGCTTCGCCGACGAGACTGCCACGTGTCTCATCGACCACGCAGGGCACGTGGCGAAGAGGAAGGCGAAGACAGGAGAAGGGGTGACAGAGAAGGAGGGTAGTAGTGGTAATGCTACCGCCGGTGTCAGCGTCAGCCAGAGAGATGACGTGGCTGCGAAGGAGAAGGTAGAAGAAGATCGAGGTCTGGATATGGCGGCGGCCGCCGTCTCTTCGACAGGGAAAGACGACGGCGAAACCACCACAACGACCGGTACYACGGCCATGGCCACAGCRACGACCGACCGGAGCAGCAACAGCAGCATCGRACCGGTCGTYTGGAAAGAGAGGGAGGTCTCTCTCCTCCCTTCCACTTCTGGATTCGAGGTGGAAGGATATCGAGTGGAGGCTGTCTCCGTCGGTGGCCAAGAGACCTGTATCATAATCCATAACTTGAATGTGGCCTTCGACATCGGCCGCTGTCCTCAGCCTGCGGTCTTCCAGGAAACCGTTCTGCTGAGTCATACTCACATGGATCACGTGGGTGGGATCCCGTTCCACGTGGCAACCCGTGGTCTGCTGTCCCTCAGGCCACCGAACGTGGTCGTACCTGCCGGCTATGTTCAGGCAGTTAGTCGACTGTTTGACGTCTACAGAGAACTGGATGGCGCCAAACTCGAACATAATCTCATCGGCCTCCAGATCGGTCGAGAGTGGACATTGCCCAATAATTACATCGTAAAGCCATTCARAACTTATCACGCGATTCCCAGCCAAGGGTACGTCATCTACTCCCGCCGACAGAAACTGAAGGCGGAGTACCTGGGTCTTCCAGGAACGGAGATTAAGAGATTGAAAGAGATCGGGATCCCGATCACTTACACGATAGACGAGCCGGAGGTGGCGTTCACGGGCGACACSACGGCRGATTTCATAACGGACCCTGCCAACGAGGACGCTCTGCGAGCGAAGGTGCTCTTCATGGAGACGACCTTCGTCGACGACTGCGTGAGCGTGGAGCAAGCCAGGCGGTTCGGTCACACCCATCTCTACGAAGTGGCCAAATTGGCCGACCATTTYCAAAATCGGGCTGTTGTGTTAATCCACTTTTCACCGCGGTACAAAAAACAGGAGATCCTGAACGCTATTCAGGAGCAATTGCCAGAAACCCTAAGAAAAAGAGTTATCCCCTTAACAGCTCGTTTTGAGTAAAAGAAACAGGAAAAAAACATTCCCTGTTCCTGCTCTCGTTCCTGGTCCTGGTCCTGGTCCTCCCTCCTGTTCCTGTTCCTGTTCCTGCTCCTGGACCTGGACCAGGTCCCGTTCCTGGTCCTGTTCTGGTCGTGTTCCTGATCCTGTTCCTGGTCGCTGTTCGTCGTCCTGGTCCTGTTCCTTGGTCGTGTTCCTGGTTCTGTTCCTGGCCGTGGTCCAGTTCCTGGTGCTGTTCATGGTCTGGTTCGTGGGCTTGTTCCTGGTCAGGTTCCTGGTCAGGTTCCTGGTCCTGGAACTGTTTGTCTTCCTTAAGTGCCTGAGGAGCAACCAGTCCAGTAAGAAGGAGACCTATCACTTTAAAGTTTAAACATCTTGTTTTGAGTTACAGAGAAAAGCACCATTCCCTGTTCCTTGAAAAAAAAAAAAAAAAAAAAAAAAAAGTTGACACACCATCTTCCAGGCCACAAAATGCGGGGTGTGGGGTTCCGGAAAACAGTCTTAGGAAGACATTTTGGCTTTTCCAGAACCTTTTCTGCGGCGTGTGGGGTCTTGGAAACACTTCCTCGGCAAACTGTTTCCTTTCTGCATCCCTGTTGCTCCAGCCGTAGTCGGGTCTTGTTGGTAGTAATCAGGCTCTTAGGCCTGGATCCCACAAGTTTCAGGAGAGGAAAAACTTAGGAGCAGGACATTTCCAGCACCCCACAGCCCTCTGCGGAGTCTGTGGAAGGGCGTTTTCTTTTTCCCAAGAATGGTTTTTGGAACCCCACAACCCGAACGTTGTGGCCTGGAAAAACATAATTTTCTAGACAAAATACCTGATACACTCACTTTTGAATGCGAAACTGGAAATTATCATACTTTTTGTCCTATTAGTTTCGGGCCTGGAAAAGTATCCCCAGAGCGTTTCTCACCGCGTTTTTGTGCCGACTGGAAAGGTAAGGGGGGGTGGCAACTTGAATCTTTCCAAGGTCGCGTCTCCAGGCCGTTCTTCCCATTCTCCACTTTGCAGATACATGCTCAGCCGTTCCAACGGTCCTTCCGAGAGTACTCGGACAATCCCCCACTTTCCTTGATGGATCGAATGACAGGACACATCTCCCTTCACGGAAAAAAAAACTCTCGCTTTGCTGCAAAACGCACTCCGCTGTGTGGTGCTTGCTAGGCCCATTGGTAGCGGGAAAATTTTAAAGCTTCCTCCGGCGCGCCCCACCGGTGCTAAGGCGTGTTGGTCCGTGCGCGTCCTCCTTCGTAACGACGACGGCCGAGTAACCTGGAACTTCACCGCGATGATGACACTCAGGTAGTGCTGTCCCCCTCCCGGCCTGCCATGCTCGGGCCGCCCGCCTCGCAAAGTGGTAGGTGAGACGGATGGGTGTTCAGAATACTCAGCCGGCATGGAACGTCACCATCACAAGTCCTGCATCGAAGACTCTATGCTTTAGACAGCTGGTGCATGTTTCTGAAGGTCCTCATTTCACCGGCAAACGAGGTCCAGTGTGGCAACTGACTGCCGTTTTGCTCAGACAATTCGCATCCTGGCGTGGTAAAAAAAAGGCTATCATCTGGATGTTTTGCCGCATTGCAGTAGTATTTAGGGCCTCGTTAGACCCTCCTCGGAAATCCATTTTTTAGGAAATTGGCACGCGTCCTAATTCACCAAATTCCTTGAATGAATGTGAAAACACTCCCAGGAGATTTCCTTGGGTTCCTCTGAATCCCCAGCCAAAACGTCCTTGGATACAAGGGGTCCTCGCAAGGTCCCTTGGGTTAAAGGAACCACGATTGACGGAGTGTTCTGGAGTGAGCGCCGACAGGAGAATTTGGAGTTGACATTTGGAGTTGACATTTGGAGTTGACATTTGGAGTTGACACTGGCCTCCAGTACCCGATGGGCCCCCAAAGGCCTTCCACTGTTACCGTTGGTGAGAAAATGCGTGGGGCTGGTTCTTCAGCTGCAATGCGCTTCATGAAGCTGGGTTTTCCGTGTGGGCGCCACTGGCGTGGTGTCCAACGGTCGAATCTTTGGATTTTTCTACACGCGATATTGAAGCACTGCCGACTGAATGCAGTCATCTTTCTAGCGTGTTTTGTCGGCTATTGTCAGGCGCATTGATGCAAGCTTTATTTGGTACACACCTCGCGTGCTGCGATTCATGGCAGACGTCCTTCGGCGGTTCCAGCTCCTGCTGTTGGCCACTCTTCTCCTACTCCTTGTCGTGTTGTTCCACGTGTGCGTCGTTGTGCAGGGGTCCAGCCAGCAGACGGAAACGACGAACTGTGAGGAAGACGATGTCAACACTTGCAATGCACAAGTGCCCACCACTCGTTTGCCCTCCAGCCCCCTCGCTGCACCTTCCACACGTCGTCGGGGACCGCGCTCACACTCTCCATGTATCACGGAAGCGTTACGTTCGTGCTCAGCTATGACGGCCCAAAGAGCATGCACAACGTGAAGGCGATATCTCAGTAGAGAACCGTTACGCATACACACTACGTCGCCCAACGTTCCAATGCCCGCCTTTTAAACCATGGCCGCTGTCGGCGCGAATACCCTTACAAGGGTATCCGCCCTGGTTTTTGCAAGTGACAGGAAAGCGTGGCTAACTTGGATTTTTGAGTACCTGCGCGGGAAACATGGGGATCGTCCGCACACAGGCTAAGGTTTGTCTGAGTAGGAAGGGTGAGTGGGCACGCAGTTTAAGGCGCGCGTGTGATTTTCCCGTTTAAAATTAATCGCGACGCCGGTATGATTATCCGGCTTTGTTTTTTGTTTAGTGATTAAATTAAGGATTAAGAGATCCGTTTTTTTTTTCTCTCTTATCAGGTTCGGCCGGCGGTAGGGCCAACACGTGGAAAGGTGTGAATGGTGGCCGCGACGTGACGTATACAAGACGGCGCGGATACTCGGCGGCCGCGCGTACGGTTGAAGAGGAAGGAGAGGCTTGGGCTGTTCTTCCCAGGCCTGGGCGTCGCGCGACACCACGTTATATTGGAACCCGCGCCTGGTTGTCCTAGGCTTGGGCTTAGCCCTATAGGTTACGACATTGGACTACTACTACGGAGGTTCGGGGATCGAGGTCGGCGGGCATCGGCGCGGGAGCAGCGAAGCAGCGCGGAGGAGATCGAGGGGTTGAGGTCCCAACGGGGCTACCCCCCTCAGATTTTGCTGGCGAGCGCCGCGACGGGCCTGCCCCGCGGGACTGGTGAGGCATCAACAGCCCCGCTGATCCCCGACACTATCATGTTTATTTTTATCTTTCTTTTTCGTTTTATTAGTTTCGGGTCCTCGTCGTATCGCGTCCCATTCAGGGACGCGAGGCTGCGATAAAGTCACATGGGGACGCGAGGCTACGATAAAGTCACATGGGGTGTGTTGTATTCGCGGGGGTTGCCTGAAGTGCAATTACAAACTGTTTTCGTGACTGCGTCGGAGCCGCGCCCCGTCTTGTCTTGGGACGCGGCGTAGTGGGTGTGCGGTAGGCCCTAGGGCCTAGCTCAGTGGGTACACCCATGAACTGGTGGGATACAGACCCGTGTTCGAACCCGGATGATGAAACTTGATAAGTAAAACCAAATATTTTAAATTGTCGGGGGCTGGTTAGCCCTACGGCTCGGGACCGTGTCCTTCGGGACATCCGTTAAAATTGGAACGATACGGCGAAGGTTAGCGTGGCCCCGCGCACACGACCAATACACATAAACCGGTTGCAACCTGTATCTAATTTTTTTGCCCGCTCACTTCTTGACTGGTCGAGCTCTGCGCGCGCACGTTTCTGAAGGCCGGTACGCTAGCCAGCCGCTGCGCCCGGTTTCGATCGAGAGGAGTGGATTCATGGACAACAACGGGGGAAGCGAGGTAGCGGGCAGGGGCAAGGCAGTGGAGTGACTGGCCATGAGAAGGAGAGAAAAAAACCTAGGCGGGAAGTGGGGCCAGGTGCGCTCAACGAAGAAGAGTGAGGGGGAGTGGAAGCGGAGTGGACAGCGCCAAGCAGCGGCGGGGCAGATAGTGTGGTGGGCCGTACAGGCTCGGGAGAGGCAGCGGGGGGAACGACGGGCGTAGGTGACTAAGAAACGGGGGCACCTGGGCGCCTTGCCGCGCCAGGTGCAGTCATAGGCAGAGCGGGTTGGAGATGGCGGGAGGGTGAGCTGGGCCGAAGGCAGAGAGTGTCGGGGGCAAAGGCAACAGGGACAGCGAGGGGCCAATCGGAAGGCGAAGCGGAGCGATGGGAGTCGGGGAGTGAGGATGTGCCAAGACAAAAGGGGGGGGGTCGAGGAGCGGACGAACCCGGACGTAATCTCGGGAAGGTTCGTGTAAAAGCGGAATAGGCTATGACGGGCGTGGGGCAGGGCGCAGCTGGATGGGCCCAACTCGCTCAACTCTTTGCAGGATCGAGCGAATAGAAGGTCAATTCTGGGCTTTTAAGCCCGGGCGAATCTGTTCCTGAGTTTAGTTTTGGAGGTAAGTTAGTATCCGAGGTGGTAGATGATAAAGTGATGTGCGGGCTATGGCGGACAGAGAAACGGTGAGGGGAGAGGATCGAGCTCTCACTCGATTGTTGGAGGAATCGAGTGAAAGAGGTAGGTAAGTTGGGGCTTTGGGATGCAGCGATTACAATGGTAACTTTAGTTTTGACAGTGGTAGTGCAGGGAGAAAGTTAGAAAGAAAGTCAGTGTGYGGGATGTAGTAGAAGAGAAGGTTAAGAGACGAATGAATCCGGACACGGATCCGCGCCGGATACGTGCGGCAAAGGGGATGGCGGAAAGGTGAGTCGAGCACAGTCAAGCAGGCGGATAGCTCTCGATTCTGAGAGGAATCGAGAGAGAGAGGATGCGATAACGGGGTTTTGGCCTCGGGCGAGTCAGATGCTAGTGGTGGTTTTAGACGAGAATTAGTAGAAAGTAAGTAAAAGTGGAGTTAGTAGGAAAAGTTAGTGCGCGGAGTATGGCGGAGTGAGGAAATGGAGGAGAGGAAACATACGTGATTTGCTCATTTATGAGCGGAATCAGGCAGGAGAAGATTTGTTTTCGGGATTTCCATATA